TGGCTTTGCAGTCCTGTGTGAGTGAGGCAAAGCCCAGTGAAACATGAGGGTGGGGGCTTGACATGCTGGTCCGTGCTGTGCTAAGCCATGCCATGCTGTGCCAAGCAATGCCATGCTATGGCTACACCCTATGGCTGAGCCCATGTTTAGGCAGCTGAAAGAAATGGCAGTTCATTCCCCGGTGTTCAACACCGTCCTTCTCCTGCACAGGGAACCTGACACATCTCCAAACCAGCCAAACCACCAAACTCTGCGGTGAGTCACGATGTGCTCGCCGTGAGTCACCGCAGATTAAAATAGCACTTGCACCATCGCTCTCCCCTTGGACAAACACCGCCACTCACTTGCCTGCAGCCGGTGGTGCTGGCTTGCCCCATCCCATCCCCACGTGGTGCCGGTGGAGCCACACACGGGGATGTTCCTACACTCTCCTCCCCACCACCATGGGTTGTGTTTGCAGCATCTTGGTGGTTTGCCATGGGAATGCGGATGATGTGATATGTAAATCAAACACTGGATTGAGTTCACCACGTGTAAGCAGGGTTATAACCTCACCAACATCCCTCTGGCAGGGAGAGGGCACCCCAAACGTGGCACCTGCCAATGGAAAGAGCCCAGTGACATTGCCCTGGAACTGAAGTCCCAAACAGAAAGAAAAAAACACCAGGAATTTGAGATGCATCCTCTCTTTCCTAACACAAATGAAGCTACACACTCCGGTTTCTTTGTGGGTGTTCCTGCCATGCCATCCCCATTGAGCCTAGCCTCGGCTCCCACTGCCATCAGCTAATGGATGCTGCCCTCCTCCTCATCCTTTTTCTCCTCCTCTTTCTTTGCACACCCAGCTTTCCACACACACCTTTGTGGAGTCAGGGAAGCTGCTGGAGACCCCTTTTCTTTGGCACCATGTGAAGGCTCATGGCCTCTGACAGACACTGGTGCGGTAGCAGTGGCAGGACACAGCTGAGTGACTGGCTTTGCACCAGTGGGCTCCAGGGACCTCGGTGGGAAGATGCCTGACACGCAGTGCTGGGGACGGAGCACCCACCTGGGCCCATGCTGACCTGAACATCTCCATGCTGCTCTCACATCTCCAGCTGAAGAGACCTCGGTGCCCATCGTGCAGAGCTGTCAGAAGATGTTGACCTGCTCTCCATGCCACAGAAGCCGGGAAGCCCCTGGTTAAATCCCGTTGTTGGAAGCTGAATATCCTGTAAGCAAATGAGCAGAAATGATGAGACCCCAAGCGACGGTGCAAAGCTAGGTGCTGGTGATCCTCCAGCACAAGCTCCCTGACTCCTTCCCTGCTATTATTATATTTCCAACCAAAACCAGCATTTGCAAAAAGATTTGAATGAAGCCCCAGAGGTTTTTAACTACTCCAACACCTCCGTTTTATCCTTAGAAGCTTTTCATTGCTTCTTCACACTTGTGAAAGTGGGGAAGATGCTTTCCAGCTGGCACAAGGATTGAGCACCCGGAGAACTGTGGCTGAGGCCAGCCGGGAGCCATCAGGAGGCCTGGCCGGAGCAGAGCCTTTCCTTCTGCTTTGAAAACTGCCCAGAAATTGGGTAGCTCCTTTTCACAGTGTTTTTCTTTCTTTGAAAACAGGAGTGGGAGGAGGGGTTGGATGTTGGCTTGTAGTCTTGGAGACCGAAGCCGAGGAATATTGAATGGAAACCCAAACATGAAGCTGCCTCTGAACTACAGGGCTGGTGTGGAGATAGATCTGCAGGGATGGCTGGCACTGGCTCCAGAGCCTCCTGCAGCAAAGCGTTGCAGGAGAGACCCAGCACAGCTCTCATACGCTGCTCAAAACTGCTCACAAGTGCCGTTCCCATCTGGAGATGCAGCTGGCAAAATAGGACACATCCATGATGATAAAAGTAGCTGCAACTGAAGTAGCTTGGGATTATTGACAGATTTATCTCTCTCCTGGCCAGTGCTTCCGTCTGCTCCAAAGTCTCAACCACCTTTTCGCTGAAACCACCTGATTTACCAACACAACCAAGTCAAGCTCAAAGCAACTGTGAGCAAGGTTATGAGTTCCTTTCCTGTCCTGAAGGAGGGCTTATAAGCCTAAAAGTTTGCCAGGACATTTTTCAGCTTTATTAGTCAATTAAAAAATACATTATCTTTCCCTACAAACCTTGTCCTTGACTATTGGAGACCACGGTAGCTACAGAAGCACAATGACTCTTTGCCAACCTGGCCATTAGAAGCGGAGCAACCGGTCCTGATTCCACTCACTAAAACTGTCTTTGATTTTTCTGCATTATTTGATCTGGTCCAGACCAAGAGAAAAATCATTTTGGCTGCTTATTTCCACCACAGAAGCACTTTGCTGGGTTGAGGAACTCCTGATACCACTCCGATTCCAGCTTCATTCCCAGTTAAATGTCATCTGTTTCCTTATCAAGACGTTTTTGTGGCTGAAGGTCTTGGAGATGAAAATCAGGAGCTTGTTCCAGGAACACCAGAGCCTGGAGCAGAGCCCTGTGTTTGGAAAGCGCCGTGGCTCGATGCATTCCACATGGACACGGTAATGCTCCAGCGGTGCCTCGTGCACGGGGGAGTTCGCTGTTGTTCGAGTTCTTTCAGAGAAAAGTGATATTCCAAAGGGCATATTGGAACAAAGGTATGGTTGTAATTAGAATCAGAGCAGTTAAATCTGACATTCAGCTGGCTTATGCCAACCCTGCCTTTAAAAGGAAGAGCATTCAGGCATTGGGTTTCATGTCTTTTCATTGTTTATTTAGCATGAATTTAATCCATATCCCTTTTTTCCTTAAACTTAACCTTCTTTGCGTGCTTCTATGCAATTGCATAAGATGTGAGGAGCGTGTAAGCGTTCTTACAGCTGTGCAAGCTTTATATTAATGGAGCCTTTACATAATTTTGACATAGACACATTATGTACACGTCTGCGGTCCCTGAGCATGGCTTAGAAAAGACATCCCCCAGAAAAGAAAGAAATAAAGAATCAGAAAAGATACCCACCCTAAGAAGAGAGAAAGAAGAGCCCATTTTGTTCCTGAGGAAGAGTGAAAAATGGGGAAGGAAGATCTGAATTTCCAGGGGATATTTGTGTTGCTTCCCTAACTACAAAAACTGCAGTAGGCAAATGCCCATTAGTGCAACTGGAATTACTGCTCCAGAAGAACATGGGTGGTGTCTGTGGGGGTCAGTGCTGTGCAGATGGGGATCTCTTGATGCCACCCCTGGGTCCAGGGCATGGCCCCACGCCTGGCTCTGGTAGCCACTCACTTGCCTGGGGGATTTTGCTCTCCCTTTCCTCTTGCACCCACCCTGCAGCATGGAAACAACAGACTCCAACTCTTTGCTTTTGCCTTTCAGGAGCTGCGGTGAGCCCTGGCGTCAGTCCTACTCCTCCAGCCCATGATGCTCCTTCATGAGCTCCATCCCAGGCTCAAGCCTGTGGCTCCAGGTGCCCACACTGCTTTTCAGGCCTTGAGTCACCTCAAGAACTTGCCGTTGGTTGCACAGAGCCCACATGAACGTGCCACTTTCACAGGCTGGGCAGCAGCTCCATTTGCTTCTGCTTCAGCTGGCTCTTACCTGCTGCAAATGAACAAGGCTCCAGCCACCTCCCGCCCCTCAGATGGTTTCACACCAATGGGCTGTCCCACCCCACATGTGCAGCCGGTAACGAATTTCCTCCCTTTGCAGACTCAGGCCATCCAGGCCTGAGTCATCCCAAAACCTGGCTCTGGGTGATGCTCACAGTGATGCTGTACTGAAGCAGAGGCACCTCTGCTACAGGATGCTGAGCACAAGGTCCTGCAAACTGCAGCCTTGCAGCTTTTCACCCATTTAACTTCATGGATTGCCCCACTGGGAATGTCTGGCTAGAAAGAAAACTGGAACTACAGGGCTTCCAATAAACATTTAAAATTGATTTTACCAGGCAGGGCAGGCACAGTTGTGTCCTTTCTCCAGGGTATTTATTCATCCAGTGTCGATGCTTCTGCCTCTCTGAAGCTTGTGGTGCTCCTGTGTGATGTGATCTCCCATCTGCAGCCACACTGGGCTCCTGCCATCAGTGAAATCCTGTCTGTGCACAGGAAGAATCAAATCAGTGTAATTGTTCCTGGTAGGGGCAGGAGATGAGCATGGAGGCATGAGGTCAGTCACTCTCTGCTGGATGCATCCCTCAACCTACACATGCACACACAGAGGTTTTTGCTTCCCTCGATGCAGACAGATACACATCAATATTCTCTTGCACATGCACATTCACATCTTCTCTCCCACACACTTTCTCTCTTTCCCCGGCTCTCACCCACACACAGTTTTACTCATTTCCCCCACCACCTTCTCTCACTGTGTCTCACACACAAGGAAAATCCTCCTGATTCTTTTTAAGAAACAACAGCTCTACAGGGAAAAGGATTTTGCACAAGAAAGTAACAGTGGAGCAGAGAGGCAGCCCCAGGAAGTCAATGCCTGCTGTGATAAACACAGCTAATAAAAAACCCTTGTGGAAAAGCAGCTCAGGGCAGTGAGGACCACAGAAGCTTAGACATGTATGGAGCAGCTCCGATGCCCAGGCAACCAGGCTGAGCTGACCACTATCTTGATCTGCAGTAATTCCTGGGAGATCAGCTGCTGCCTCCCTCCCGCTTGGCTCCAGCTTCAGGAGCCACAAGAGGCTCTGGAATAAGCTGCCGTGGCAGATCCTGCTGCCCTCACCTACACTCACCTCCCTCATAGAGGAGCAGGTCCCTCTATGTGCTCAGCCTGGCTTGTGAGTGGGTACTGCTGTGGGAGTCGGTGTTGTCCAAGCCTTAAGTCAATTTTTCAGGTCAAAATCCCATGGGACTGGTTGTTTCTCAGACCCACGCACTGCATAACCCTGCTCCTGCGGGAGAAACAAGTGAGTGTTGCAGCTCTGTGCCGCTCTTCTGACAGCAAATCACTGTTGTCCTATTTCCAAGTTGCTAAATTCCCTGTTTTACAGTGAAAATAACACAAAAAACTTATTTTTTAACTTAATAAGCTTTATTTAGGAAATAAATAAAATTGTAAGAAAATTGGAATGGTTGTAATAAATACAGCACTTGTCAAAATCACACAGCCATGAAAAGCAGCATATTTTTAGGCATGTTACTCCAGTGTGGTTATGGGGATTGGCACATTACTGGAAAAATAACTTTCTGTCCCTGAAAGAACAGTTTAAACATGGAAGAGAGAAAGAAACAGAGAGACCTGGGGTCTCAAATCATGGAATGGTTTGGGTTGGAAGGGACCTTAAAGCTCATCCAGCTCTAGCCCCTGCCACAGACAGGGACACTTTCCACTAGAGCAGCTTGCTCCAAGCCCTGTGTCCAACCTGGCCTTGAACACTGCCAGGGATGGGGCAGCCACAGCTTCTCTGGGCACCCTGTGCCAGCGCCTCAGCACCCTCCCAGGGAAGAGCTTCTGCCTAAGAGCTCATCTCAGTCTCCCCTCGGGCAGGTTAAAGCCATTCCCTTTGTCCTGTCCCTACAGGCCCTTGTCCAAAGCCCCTCTCCAGGTTTCCTGGAGCCCCTTCAGGGACTGGAGCTGCTCTCAGTTCTCCCCTTCAGGAGCCTTCTCTTCTCCAGGCTGACCCAGCCCAGCTCTCTCAGCCTGGTTCCAGAACTGGATGCAGGACTGCAGGAGGGTCTTACCAGAGTGGAGAGAATCCCCTCTCTTGACCAGTCAGACACACTCTTTTTGATGCAGTCCAAGCATGATTTCCAAGTTTAATTCACTCATTAAAAAACAAGTGAAATTATTCATTCCTTACTTCTATTTTAAGATAACAATAAAAGACAAAACCATGTCTAAGAGTTAGTTCTATTTTAGCGTGTGATAAGAATTAGACATAAAAATAATAAAGCAGTAAAAAATAAAATCAGTATTTTCTATTAAGTCACTTGCCTTGAAGGTTCGGGAAGTGACTGAACACTTGAAAATGGAGCTACTGAGGGGTCCTTACACTGCCTGGACTGGCTCTCAACTTCCCTGGGGTTACCAGCCCTCAGAGCTCAAAATCTGAAATGGGAAAGTCAAACAACTCCTTTGGAAATATAAGAGGTGATTTCCCCAAGGCACAGTGCAATGTGGTCACCGATTGCTGATGTAATAGGACATCTCTTTACAGAGCACATAAATATAGATCTAAAATAAATAGCAAGACATAAATCATCTGGTATCAACTCCAGTTACAAATGCTAACCACAAGTCACTGCTTTCAAGGTCACCAATAAGCACAGAGACACCCAATCAGTGCCTCAGGGGAAGGAATCTGCCCATGTCCCTGGTGGAGGAACAGGCAGAAGCCCACACCAGGGCTGCCAGCCAGCACCATGCCTCCTGGGAATGTTGCTGCGCAGCCAGGGGAGGATGGGGAAAGCTCAGCTTCCGAAACCTCCTAACCCCACGGTGCCAGAAGGGAGCTCTGGCTGCTCTCCCTGCCCACTACCAGCAGAATGACACCCACATCTGGGCCAGGTGTGAGAAAGAATAGTGCTTCTTTCCACAAGTGCATGTGCAGGGGTGTGTGTGACTAACTGACATCTACACCAGGAGTATTGGCTGTTCTGATGAAATAATCACAGTTCTCATTTCCAATATCCATGGGCAAAGTGCTGGGCATGCTCAGCTGTAGCTAACTCTAGCAGGCAGATGTTCAGCTGACATGAATGGATTCAGGGATTCAGGCTTGGGCTCTCTGGATTTTGTGTGCACACAACAACTAATACAAGGTCTCAAGCTGATGTTTTGGTTTCCTTGTAAACTAATGAAATTCAGTGGGTGTTTTATTACCAGCCACCCATTTTTCAAGATTTAATAATTTGTTTCTACAATGCATTTAAGGAAAAGTGTGTCTTCCTTCACATAGGCGTATTTAGGTGACTGTAATTTGAACAAAGGGAGAAACATGGGACAGCCACTTGCAATATTCATATCATTCACCGGTCTCTGAAATGAAGCAGAAGTCAAGTCTGGGCGAAATGCATCAATAACATGTTCCCTGTTGTTTTGGTCAAGCAACATAAATGTAACCTGAAAAACAGAATGTGGAAATGATGAGTTATTGAACTGAAAAATAAACTGGAAAACAGCAGAGGCAGAAGTGCAAACATGCTGCAAAAGCAGCTGGATGCTCTATCGATAATTAAATACAAATGGTAATGAACGGTTCACAACCTGCAAGGTCAGTTACTCTCAACAGGGGAAACTGTAACAGTTCCCAGGTGAAGGATATAAAACTCTGCCACCTATTAAATTAAATTAAATTAAATTAAATTAAGGAATTATTTCTTGGTAGAGAACTGCACAGTCCAGAGACCTTTTTCATCTCTCTCCTGACAACTTCAACAAACCCCAGCTTTAGTTACAGTCATTACATTCAGTTAGTGTGATATAAAAGGTTGCCCCTCTTACCTTGTTCCTGAAAGGCCATGGGAGCAAAGCATCGTAGTCTCCTTTCATGACAACAAAGAACAGGGACATGTGGGTTCCTTTTCCTGTCCCGTCCCCATTCAGATACACCCTCAGACAGACCTTGTAGCCATATTTTGCAGTGTAGAAAGCTGAAAATCAGAACCCTTCATTAGTAAAGTGTCCTTTGGGGAAAGAAAAGGACATAACGACTGTTCTGGCATATGGGAAAAGATGGTCTATGATGTGTTTTGCTATCACAGAGATGAGAACAGACAAATCAGTACACCCTGGAGATTATAAGCAATGAAAATCCAGTGGCTGGAGTGCTTTTAGTGACTCAGTGAAAATTACCTGTTATTAGCCACTACAAGCATATTTTATCTAATCAAATTACTTCTCACATGGGAGAGAACTGCAGCAGAAAGCCACTGGGTACCATGAGGCACCAGGCTGTGGGTTACACGAGAGGGATCCAGCAGATGTCACTGCAAGAGGCTGCAGGGTGGGCAAATTGCAGTGTGAAAGCCCAGAACAGAACCCAACACTCTGGAAGAGCACATTGCAACTGCCCTGAACTACAGGCACGAAAGCATGAGGTCTTTGCATAGACAGCATCTTAGTTGAAGGACTTAAAGAACTTCCTGTCCACAGGAGCGGAAAGAAGCACCATTCTAGAGAAAGAAGTAGGTTTTCTAAAGGACTGGTTTTTGCTAACACACATACACACCATGTGTTTTACCTGGTGAATACAAACTGACTGTTCTTCCAGTCACAGAGTCTTGTAACTTCCTGCCAACATCTGTTATTTTCCACAGAAAGACCCCATCATAGGAAGCTTGCTCAGAGAACAGAAGACTCTTATGAAGGCTGCTCAGGCCTACGTCCTTCTGCGTCAGGCACCGGTGCAACTCTGCAATCTAGAAGAAACAAATCAGTCTGCAGTCAATTCTCCTCTCTAGGTTGCTGTGCTGCAGAAGTAGCAGAATCTTTCTGGAGCCCTCATGTCCTGAAGCGTCTCCTCTGATTTCTTTTTAAGCAACAGTTACGTGTCAAAATGAAAGCAAACTGGACAGATGGTTGGTTGGTCCCCCCCCCAGCCTTAAGAGCATCAAGCAACTGTCTTGCTTGATCACAATCTGATCACAGCAAACTCTGAATGTTCAAAACTCTCAGGAGTATCTAGGTACCTAAACATAGGTCTGGATAACAAATATTAGAGATCTCCATTTGAAAACATATCCAAAGCTCCAAGAGGATCCTGTAGATGTGTTCAGAACTTAACACTTCACAGCTCAAATTCCTGTGTTTATCCCTGTCCTGATCTCTACACCACCTCTCACTGATACGTGTAAATACTTGTTATCTATAGAACAAGCACACAAACAACGCTTATCATAACTGTTTACCTTCAGTTCAAGGCTTCGTATTATATTTTGATCAAGTTCACTCTGTCTCCGAAAGGCCACGATTTCCAAGCTAGAGATCTCCACCTCTTTATTGAGCACTGCCACAATATTCTCAAACACTTGTAGCTTATTTTCTAGCTCAGAAATCACTTTCTCCTTCACAAGTTGCTGCAGAGCAGATTCCTCTTCAGAAATGGAAGATTCAGGAAAACAATCTTCTTCCAGATCCCCACGGATTTCCATCCCTGCTAGGATCTGCAGATCAGGGATGCTTTTTCCTGCACTGTTCACACTAAGCTCTGTCTGTGGGATGAAACCATTTGCAGCTTTGGCAGCAGTGCACAAGCTTGCCTTCAGTTGCTTTATATGCTGCAGCAGAAGCAGCATGTGGGCTCCAACTGCAGTTCTCTCATGATTCTTTACCTTCTCTTTGCTTCCCTGTGAGAAGACGACACTGTCAGTACACTCTGTACAACCACCATAACTGGCCTACAGCCAAACCAAGCAATGTCCACTTCAGTTTCTTGGGAGAGACAGAGATGGAAGAACTGCAAGGTACAGGTCCAGCTACATTTCAGTCAATTCTCAGAGGAGATGTGGTGAGAGGAGCCCTCTCATTTAGGCTACGTGTTCACATGTGTACACAAGCTACATAAAAAGAAAACTATTACCTACAATTTCTGGATTAAAGAGGATTCCAGGCAGAGTCCCAGCAAGATTCTTAAATAAACCAGTATTTAATACATATACTGACCACAAAAGATGGGACAAGGCAACAGATGCCAACAAAAATGCAAATTCTTCACTGTTTTGAGAGATGTTACCCTGGAAGAAATATCCAAAACGTATATGATAAACCAGCAGAATTGTAATAAACATCTATCTTTAGCTGAATTGAATGCACAGTGTCACTGGCTGAACCATGTAAACATGGCAGTTCCAGTCTCTCCTCTGCTGTTCTACTAAAAGTGGGTAGACTTTCCCTCTTTTCTTAAAGATCTATTTAAATCAATTTATATATCTACTACCCAGAACACAAAAGCTGGTCAGACCAAAGGCACAGTGCTGTTGTGCACCACTGGAGACCTTTCTGAAGGCAGCCGTGTCACTCACCCTAAATGAACAGCCGACCTCAGAAAAGCGACAGCCATCCTTGTTGACTGAAGGTGTAGAGCAGTTCTGTTGAAAGAAACAAGAGAAGCAAAGCAAACAATCAAATACCAGTTTAAAGGGATTCTTTTATTTACTTACAAACAACTAGGCCGCAATCCCAGCAGCTATAAATCAAGTTAAATCAAGTCAAGGCATTACCGCAGCTTACAGCACCCAACCAGCTTTGAAAATTCACTCATCTTTTACCTACCTTTTCTCTTGATGGTGTTTCTGTTTGCACATGGTTTTGTTCCTTACATAAACTGCCTTCACATGAATGTTCCTGTCATGAAAACAAGAAGAAAAGAATTCAGTGTATTATTAAAATCACTGAGCATCTTTATTTAGGAGTCTCTGAAACAAAGCTTGTGCTTTGGAATGCTATTCCTGTTTTACAGAAACTTGGGGATTTGGGAGGTTTTTCTACAGGAACTCTGTGTTATGGAAGAAAAAGCTTACAGTAAGTTTCTTGCTTTCTTCCTGGAAGATGTGGGCTTAAGGAAGAGGAAAGAAAGGAAGGATAACTTCCCCAGGAGCACTGTGAGCTCCACACCACAAGGTGCAAAATCCCTGTCCAGAGAGTGCCTGCCTGGGGCCTCACTGTGCCATAGTTGCAGAGTTCTCTGGCTTCTTTTTAGAGGAAGCAACGTTCAGAAATCTGGGACTAAAGCACATCTTAGAGCGGGTGCTGCTGTCCCCTGCATAACGAAGTGCAGGCTCAGAGGTTTCTCAAGCTAAGCCTCTAAGCTGATTAATTTTCTTCTCAGCCCCACAGGCGTGCTCAGTGACAGGTCTCCAGATGCAATACCTGTTAAATGGAAGTACACAGTGTGATCTTTTGCTTATGGGGCCCAGAGCTCTTGGAAACTACTTACAGATGCTTTGCAAGGTCACTCTGGGGAATTTGATACAAGACTGGCAATGTACAAGTCCTGCCCAGTAGTTATATGCACACACACACACGTACATATATATGCGATGACATGTACGTGGATTACAGAACAAAAAGCAAATATACAGGAAGCCCAAACATAAACTCTTACTGCATTGACTTCCAGTTTGTTTAATGTGCAGACCCTTCCTGCATCCTGCTTTTTACCATCTTGAAGGCTGGAATCCAAATTTTCCATCACGATGTGCTAATGCAAAATGCATTACCTCTAATATGAGACTTCCTGCCATTTCTGGCTCCAAGAAGGGTAAAATAATCCTCCTGCCATCGGTTCACACAAGTGTAATATGTGTATTGAACACAGCAGCTGTCAGCTTTCAATTCATAGTGTTCAGGTGGGGCTGTCTTTAATCTTTATAAATGCCTTTGCACACCAGTACATTTCCTATAGCAGTTCACACGTTTTTGATAAAGCCATTCCAACAGCCTTCAAGTCTCGCCTGCAAAGAGCGCTGAGGTTTCTCTTTCGATCTTCAGAAATGCAGTCACAGGTTTTTTGTCACTCTCTAACTCATTTTTAATACTCTTAGTGTTGCACAAAGTAAGCCTTTATTTTCTTCCTTTCTACTATTTGATTCCTTCAGATCACTGATTCCTTGAGGGGGAAAGGGGCTGGTGAGACATTCCTTTAGAATATGGAAATACAGAAATCACAAGATCAATAACTGATTGGTGAAGATGGAGAGAGGGAGAGCAGTGCCCAAAACTTACTGTGTGCTCCCAGAAGATTGTGAATACAGAGAATACACACAAATAATCAACATTCTTATGTCACGTAACTACAAATTCAATAAAGCAGATCATGTAACCAGCAAAATTCCAGCTTCACAAATACTAAGGGAGGCAGAGAAAAATCAACATCTCGAGGCCAATCCTTGGTTGCCAAGGTTTCCCAGCCAAAAACTTAATTAGATGTTAGCTAACTGAATGAGTGGGAGGAAAACAGCTCTTCATAGCAGGAAAATGAAGCCCTCTGAGGTGGATCTGCGGCATCACAGACCTCTGAAAAGACAGGGTGCTCAGGGAATATCAGGCAGCTCAGGTTTCCTTCTCCAGCCTGCTACAGCACTCACAGAAGTAAGGGATTATGGGTTGCCACCTTCTGGTATTTACTGTCTCTCTGAAACATACACTGGATTTAGCGCTGGTAAAATGTGCTGGGATCCCCATATTCTTCTTTCTGTAAGGGTTAATAAACTATGAAGAAGACATGCAAAAGCTTCCCAAGAAGCATGTTTTAGCAAGAGTGCTTTATTCCTATCCCAGAAGGACTGTTACCTCCATGTTGAGTAAATCTCACAGCTCAGTATTTGAAAAGGCATAAATTGGTGACAGTGATGACATGCAAAGCTACCCACTACTATTAACTTCAGGCTGCATACATACAGGATATATGCAAATTCATTTTGCAGGTCCCTGTGACAACAGTGGAAAACACAACTTAAACATGAAAAATAGAAGCTAAATATGTTCAAACAGTCACTGAGCAATTTGCAGCAGATCCAGAGTGTGCTCTTCCTGATCTGTAATGGACACTGCTGCTCATACTGTGAGTTACACTTCACCATATCTCATAGAAATACTGACAAAAGCCTGCCTTACAAATCTGTGGGCAGTTTTAGTTCAAATAAAACTCCAGCCACTTTCAAGATTGCTTCCCATCACTTGTGTTCTTCTGATTCTTACCTACCTTGTAGCGGAACACATGCTTCAAGACAGGAGTTAAAACATGGGCTGCCAAGCTCCGGATGAGCACACAGATATTTCCATCTCTCTTGTAACGTCACAAGCAGACTACCAAATACAGCTCATTTTTCCCTCCAACACATGCATGGAAAAATTAGCAAACTCAGGAAAACTAAATATTCTCCAAGTGCAGTAGCACAGGATGAAAAATGTCATGATAGATTATTTAAGTCATTAATACAAAGCCCTCATTTGAAACGGAGAAATGGTCTTACTTGGTATTCGCTACTGGATAAGCTCTTCTTACACCTCTGACACGTTGTCACGTTATTAACACATCCGTTTTCCAAATGATCTGCAAGTTTCTTTCTCATCACCATGTGTCCACAACCAGTGTGACAAGGGATTAAAGCATATTCACATAAGCTCTGATGCTCCTGGAAATAAAAAGTCATAAACCAAAATGTAAACTGCAGATATGCATTCACCTTTAAATAGTCTCCATTCTGCCAGCCTAGATCTTTGCTTTGTGTTTCTTCTAAACTTGGGTAAAGTCCCACTCCATGATGTTACTGAGATTGCTGGTGAAAAAATCACCTATTTTACTGGGGCTTTCTTGTTAATTCTTAAGTTAAAAAAACCCCAAACCAACTAACAACCAACAACTTTTGCTGATCTCAAATATGAGGTTTCCCCTGAACTTTCTCCAATGATTGTGTTTGAAAATAACACGACCGTGGTCCCAGATTTTTAATTGTAATAGAAGATCCCTAACTTTTAGCCTGGGTTTTTTCTAAGGTGGTTTTGGAGGGGTTTTGAGAGGTGTTTTTGACCACTGAGACCATCATGCTCTAGCTGACAGAATGGGTGTAGTCTGCTGACATCTCTGCATAGCATCTGACACCTTCTATACAACAATTGTTATTGTTGTATATAACTACACTCAAAATAACTCTTAAAACATTTCCTTTACACTATTTGCATTATCTTGTCCCAACAAGGAAAAATATCAACGTTACTTCTTTCATAACTATATCCAATAGATCTACACAGTCTTTCAATAAGAACTATTTACTCTGACCTCTGTTACTGGACCTTCTGAAGGCACTGTGTCACAACTGATTTTGTCTTTACAGGGAGATGGCTGTCCCCTACAGACCTGGCTCAGAAGTGCCAATTTCAATCACACACCCAACTCTCAAATCAATTTTGCCATGTATTCATGCTGAGAGGGGCTCCAGTTCTCAGAACTATGAAGCTAAGCAAAGTGGGTAGATTTTTCTTTAACGATGAATATACTCACGTAGAAAATTTGTGCATAATTAGCAAAGAAAAGGCAGCAGCATCTCAGATGCTTCTCAGATACAGAGTTATGTGAGGTACATAGCAGACTACCTGTTACAAATGCAGAAAGACCCTCTGTTCCCATACCCATATTACGTGGGGCATTTCACATCAGCCTGCTCTCAATTTGATCTAAGCCCTACTAAAGTTAATGGCACATTTTTAGGTACTCTGTTGGTATAAATCCTGGTGCTTGGTTGATTCTACTGATGTTGCATTGATATGTGTTTGCTAAGAACCTGGTTTCATTGTCTCCCTGTCCCCATTCAAGTCAGAGTGCATTTAAATATACTGCCTTTAAACGTACTTCGAAGTTTTTCATGATACCAGACCAGCTGCATCCCAGGGTCACACAGTGTACTCTCAGTTCAGAAATCTCTTTATTAATAGCAGCATCACCAAATGCCTGGAAAGGAAACACAGTACGGAAAAAAGCATTGGTCAGAAGGTGCTCCAGAATGCATTTCTGACATAGGAATGAGGTGACTGTGTCAAAATCTTGGATCTTGATCAATCCCTTATTTCTTTTACATTTGCTATACTGCCATAAGGCTCTCTAACCCAGCAAGTCCACCTTAGTGCAGCAGAAGCCCAAATAATTGTTAAATAATTTCTTTCTTACAGTTCAAAATTAAACTGTTTGATGTAATATAAATTAACCGAAAATATCCCTAGCCAACTACAGGCATTATTTTAAGTTCCTTTTCATAGAAGCCTGACATATATCACATGCAATGAATGTGCTGACAGGACCCTAACTGTAGGGTGCTGCCATGTGCCACTCTTAATGAATGCATTTCATTATCGGGGTCATTAACACCTCCTAAACGTGCTGCACAGAAGACTTGAGACTGTTCTGCAGTGAGAATACACTGCTCAGGCCATGGCTGTTTCTATTTACTATGGCATTATGCACTAAAGAAATGTAAACCATATGTGAGTGGGGTTTTTTTGCACTACATAGATTGTTTTTGCTATGTTAACCATGAAAAAATGTACAATTCTTATGTAAATTATGAAACACGACACACTTCAAACAGTACAAATTGCACAGCCAAAATAGGCACACTGACACAAGAACAAGCACTGCTAAAGTGAATGGCATGGTTTTAGATGCTCTCTTGGTAAGTACACAACAGGGGACCGCAGATTTCCCAACACAGAGAAGGCAAGAACTGGGCAGAGGGAACCTTTGCAAACAGAGGGAGGAAAGGATTTACAAATGATGCCCCGTTTCAGTCAAGTGATTGAAATTCCACCAAGTGAGCTAAAACAAATAAAATCATCAGCTTCAACATTCCTGGCTGGCCGGAGTTTGTTTTCACCTAGATACAACACCTTTGTACACATGTAACATGATGTTTCCTACATCTATTATTAAATCACAAAAAAGAAGCGTAGCCAATGCTACGAGTGGTGAGAAGATACATTTCTATAGGCAGGGTCTCACAGAAACTCATTTCCTAATCTCAACCTGCAAATGAAGTCCAGAACTTTGCACAAAAACTACAAACAAGGAGTTACAAAATAATCATGTAGGTTGTACACAGCCATGTATGGCTCCACCTGCATACATGGAAGAGTAGCTGTAGTAAGCTAATAATCCATGTACAATTAGTGAAAGCAGGCCAGCCCCAGCCTCTGAAATAGTCTAGTCTAAGTGATGAGCAAAATCAAAGTAAAGCGATTCAAGTTACCAGGCACATGGTGGCTTTTCCCCTTGTGTCATAAGAGAAAAACTCCAGGAATTTCCTGACATTACAAAATAGATAATTTAAAATACATTTAACTACGGGGACAGTCCCAGCAGCGCACATGTCTCTTACTGCTACGTGCATTCCCTGTGCTTCTTGGTTCACACTTGTGGTTGTTAAATCATTATGGACGCTACTCAGGTGGAAACCAAGGAAGGAAATCCTCATCTCTTCTTTCATCTGCACAGGTGACTGCTCTGAAATATTCACCCAAACCTCTGGGAACCCAACTCTGCACAGAACTCCTTTAGAGACCTGAGTCAGACCTTCATACAGTAACTGAGATGACTCTTGGGGACATAAAAGTGCTCTGGGTCAAACAGAAGGAAACAGAAACATATCTGATTTGATGTATTGTAGTTGCACATCTCCCCTTTTTCAATTTCTCTGTTTCAAAGGAAGATGTTGGTGCAGGTGCTGCTGATGTTGACCATGGGTGGCTGTCACAGCACACATACCTGCCCAGACCTGCCTGTCACATAAGTGGAGGTCCCCTGCCATGTCCCATCCAAAATCCACTACCATATGCATTTCTCCTTAGCACTCTGACCTGCACAGTGTGGGTCTTATGGCTTCTAGCTAAGGCAAGACTCTGGCCTACTGCTCATGTGGTCAGGACCATCAGGTAGGAACAAGTTAACAAACAGATCAAGCTGACCAAAAGCTTTCCAGGATAAATCCAGTGTTTTTTTTCTCTCCAGCTAAAGCCGGCCCTCTGCAGCTGAACCAGGATCTACAGCTGCTCTAACCACAGACAGAGAAGGGAGAGCCACAAAGTGATTCATGTCCAGTTCAAACCAGGGCACTGGCCTCTAAGCCAGCCCCATGAATGTCAGCAGCCAGGGTGTGATGCCCTACTCCTCTAACTGATTGCACTGACAAATGTAGGCGCTCAATAGGTGATACTGGGGAACAGCACCATGATAAGACTTGAAGCAATGTTGAAGGGATTATAAATCATAGAAATATATATTAAGGGATTATAAATCAAAAGTGTAAGATGAAGGGATGGAAGAGACTACAGAAATAGATCGTCAGATAAACTCAGGCAAATACACATCCTGATAAAGCCTTTCTTTTCCTTGTGTAGGTATCATATTTTAAACATAAACACGTAAACAGCATGGGAAATAAGCATTAAAAAAACCCACAGCAAAGGTAAAGCAGAGATTGTCAGGAATAAAGAATAAAGCTGCTATTATTCATGTTGTTTACAAACTCAGACAACTTGATGTAAGTTGATCTACACAGGCAGATCCTCATGCCTTTGTGGTGATTGACTTTGTCTGGACACTCAGGCGGGCATAAGAATCTGATCAGGCAGATCAGCTTGCAAGAGTGGGGCCCTATTTACAACCACCCACCCACAGATTGTGCAGAAAGTCCCAGCAGACCCTGTGAGAATCCCACAGCAGAGAAATCCTAGAGTTATAACAGAACTGAGAGTCAACATAGAACAAGAAGTTCATAAGGGTTTAAATGTACCCGTTTTTGGTTACATGATACCTTAATTTTGTCACTGGGAAATTTATTGCAGAATTGAGGATTTTTTCTGAGCTATTCACTATTATCTCCAGCTTCATTGTTTCCTGCAGCCCCTTCCTAAACTTCACCTTTCATCTCACTGCCTGTTTGCTTCCATTTTTCCCTAAAACATTTAGACAGAATGCGTGCTTCTTCATATTCCTGCACATAATCAGAAAGGAGATCAGCTGAGACTGAGTATTATGGCCCAATTTGTGTTCAGGATATGGAATAGTGCAGCAGTCTGTCTGGAAAATCACACAATAGCAGAAGAGATCTGCACAGTGAAATCACAGGTGAAACATTTGCCTGTGCCCAGTTTTGACCAATCATTATGTTCAGCTCAGTGTTTCCCACTATTTCCTCCAGATACTCTGGCTGTCAAATACTTTTTAGGTAATTCAGCCAGCTATCTGATACTCTTCTCTCCTTAGGGATGCTCCACGAGTACAGTAACATGTTTGAAGCGTACAGAGAATCATGAGATTGGAAAATCCACTAAGGATAGTAAGTAACAGCTAAGACGTATTATTTCAAGTAGGAAAGCACTGGTTACTTTGAGACAATAAAAAATTAATCCTATGGAAGTGTGTGGGATTTTATGTTGCAGAACCTGGCAGGCTTTGGAAGTCCTAAGGCTGCCATTATACTTTCTTAAATCAAAACCTGGGAAATCCAAAAGACTAAAGCATAAAATAAAATGTGTAACTATCAGTTGCTATCACATTTTCTGTTATTCCCTCCTGAACTGTGGGCCAACGATGACTACGGAGTAGACCAGAGAATGTTTAATGATAAATTAGTGAACTACAACTTACCCTTTCTTCTGCCAACAGGCTTCCCTCACTGAAAGTGCTGGGATCTTCCTCTTTGCATTTCTGGCAAATTGCATTTTTATTGTTTCTGGCAAAAAGAAAGAAGAATGCAGTAACAATCGGTGTGCTGTGGTTTAGGAGGTCTTTGTATAGACACTGACACAAAGAAAGCCATGGAAATTGTAACCTCCACTCAAAATCCATAGCCCTTGTTCAATATTGTGATGTCAAAACCACCCTGCTTTTCTGTTCCTCATGACTAGGCCCACAAATCTTATCTGTATTTCAGCAAAATAAGAGCAGCCTGGATCAGAAAAAATAAATAAAGATGCAAACCTATTTATCTCATGAATTACACAAAAACACCTTGTGGAAAAGGTAACATGAAAACTAGAGTCTTTTAAAACACAGAAAACACATTTTCCCCAGATAGATGTATAGACTTCACATTACAAAGGGATGATAAAACCAGTGCAGATTCGAGTTCTAGACAGTTAACATCCCGCTGCAGCTAAAAAGGTTTCTATCTCCTCTCAAAATATTTACCACAGAGTTTCATAAAGGAAAGGCAAAAATACAACTTTACTAGAGATGTATTGCACTGCCAGTGCTGTTTAGCATCCAGCTAATAATGAACTAACACAGACCAAGAAGCTCATAAGAAAAGCATCCATCTGAACAGAGCACAACTGCCTTCAAACTGCACTAATCAGATCCTCTGAGGCAGTATCCCATTTGTGCTGTAAGACTAGTGGGAAGATAGAACAATTCTAGCTCTGTTCTGCTGACAGTTTTTGGAATTTATGGGTTATGCTACTTCATTAAGGATCTTTGTTCTAGATTTACAGTAATGGATTTACAAAAGTTGGTCAAATACATTAATTTCAACACATTTTTACATTACTACACATTGATCTTTAAATCACAACATGGCCAGTGCATTGACTCAGCTCTTCATGTGCCCCACACTGTGACCAGAGCTAAGACTGCATGTATAGGAAAACACAAACAGCTTACTAACAAATCCCTGAGGAAGCACAGTAACAGGCCTTACACGTACATAGCCAGTCACTGAATCTTGACAGCTGCTGTTTTCCAATGCATCAAAGCTGAAGTCAGCTCAAATTCATGGAATTGTACTACAGTTTCAGGCAGACATACCCTTTTCCACAGCATTTGGATCAAAATGTAATTGTGCAAGAAAAGGCAGGATAGAAGCAACTGATCAAACAAAGCAAATCCCCGCCCAGCTCCCGGTTTTTTAGGTTGTTCTGAACATTGGCTGTCATCCTTCGTCACTAATGGCAGCAGCATCTTAACATGTACTGACCCAGCTGAGTTACTACAAATAAAACTCCAAGATAATGTTTATGAAAGTCCTATAACAGCACTTATCAAAGGACTGTAAAGTCCCATGGAAGTAGTAACTCGGCCTTGTATGAGTTCTTCAAGGTTAAATCAGAATCATTCTCTCACACCTTCAGACATCTGCAAGCCCAGAAATCCAGCCTTCCCCACACTTCCATACTGGAAAGAATGAGGTAGAGAGTATCCTTCAGGTAGTACTTGCAGACAGTGAAATGACTGTGGGCCAGGTAGCCACAGTCATCTGCCCAGCACAATGCAGCTCTCAGGAGTGCTTTCAGCCATGGCAGTGCCCCAAGGACCTACCGTGCAATCCAGGCGAGGCAGGCTGAGCAGTACCTGTGCCCACAGAGCGTCTGCAGGGCCTTCTTCAGAACGTTATTGCAGTTGCTGCACAGGTACTTCTGATCAGGCACATCCTCACAAATGTTAGTGGGGTATCCAAAAGGAAATTCATTTTCATCAGGAGACGAGCCAGGGCCATCCTGCGGGCCTCTGCTTGTTTTCTCAGCCATCTGAAGTAAACTACTGTCAAAGGGAAGGAAAAAAAATTGGTGTTCAAACAAGCAGACACAAGCCCACTTTGATGTGAGAGAATATAACAACAGCTCCAAACCTGTGCTGCAATCTAGTGACCTGTTTTATTGAGAGCCTGCAGCTGACATGCGTGACTAAATGTCACAGGAGGGTTTGAATAGGTACCAGCAGGAAATTACTGTACAGACTTAAAATTTCCCTCAAACACTACATGAAAATTGACAGTGTATTAAAATGAAGGCTTGGGGGTTTCTTTCCAGGGTTTTTTAGTGCACAGAAAGATGAAGTAAGTATAGCCATCATCTCAGAGCTACAATCCCATCAGTCCAAGTCACACACAAGTGTTTCCTATAGAGTAAATCCCCAACCACCTTCAATTCCCAGCAGCCCAAATCTGTGATCACACTTCACAGATGCAGGAACCGAGCAAATGAGTTCACAGTGACTTTTCTGAAGTCATATAACTAGCAGTGAAATGAAAGAACTAAGTCCACAAAAAGCTTAACACTTGTGCTCTTAGCAGATATACCTTGAAGCACATGTCACATGTGTTCAGTATTGTTTTTGGTTACAAGAGCTGTGTGGTTGAATATTTTTGGAAATGGACCTAAAACTGATCCTGGTGTCTTCACAGCTGCTTGGAAATCCAGGAAAGGTTTTCACCCAGGAACCTGGTGCAGTTTGATCATAATAATGCCTTCATAAATCTGCTTTTTTTCCTACAACGGTACTGACACACAATAACCTGTCTCAGTAGTATCAAAAGTAATATAGGGATCCTGGGGATGGACTCTTCATTAGGGACTGTAGTGATAGGACAAGGGGTAATGGGTTCAAATTTAAACAGGGGAAGGTTAGATTGGATATAAGGAAGAAATTCTTTCCTGTTAGGGTGGTGAGGCACTGGAATGGTCTGCCAGGGAGGTTGTGAATGCTCCATCCCTGGTGGTGTTCAAGACCAGGTTGGACAGAGCCTTGGGTGCCATGGTTTAGTGTGAGATGTCCCTGCCCATGGCAGGGAGGTTGGAACTTGATGATCTTAAGGTCCTTTCCAACCCTAACTATTCTCTGATTCTATGATCGACTGACAGATGTCTACAAAAAGAAGCCAGCCTGCCTGCACTGGGCCAGGCAGAGCTGCAGCGGTGGGTAGGATGTACCCTGCATTTAAAGCACTCTTTTTTGAGCAAACAGCACTTTCTGCAGCCTAGCTTATGCAATTCCCTTGGGCTCTCCAGGCATTTGACAGGGAGCTTCCCAGTCTGCCAAGAACCATAAAACCAGCAGCACCAAACGTGCACCTGCGGGTTAAGGAAGTTGTCACGGGTTGGTACCCAGGTGAGGAGGGGGCAGACGGGCCGCCCCTGGAGCACACGCACGGGTGGATCATACCGATACCGCCCGGGAGAACGGCAGCGGAGGGCAGGGAGCGGATCCGGCAGCCCCGGCTCGGCGGGCACCCTCTCTCCCCATCGCCGGCTCCGCAGGGCGGATGGAGCCGGGCAGTCCCCGCCAGCCCTGCAGCTGCTCTCCGAAGCGTGCTACAGGGATCAGGCTCCTGCGCCCCGGGAGGCCCCTCGGCGGGGGGCCCTTCCTCGCTCCCACCCGCTCCGCTTACCTGAGCCCGGCGCCCCGGCGGCAGCCCAGGCCACGGCTGGGGCGGGTGGCCGGGGAAGGGGCCGGCCGGCGGGGCGGTGCCGGGCCCGGAGGCCGGTGCTCGGCCCGGTGGGGGAGCCCGTGCCGCGGGCAGACGAAGCGCAGCCGGGCGGCTCCTGCGACTGCTGCCTCGCCGAGGCCGGGAGGAGCGGGGAGCCCCCAGCGCGCCTCGGGGACCGGCGAGAAGCCGGCCTTGCCCCCGGCTCCGGGGATGGGGAACGGAGCGAAGAAAGCGCCAAGGGAGCAGATTCCCCCGGGCTGGCTGAATGTGCGTATCTAGTTCCTGAAACTGGGGTGGTTGTGGCCATGGGACAGGGGAACCCGGGCTGTGACAGATTCCTGCCTCCCACGGCGAAGTTACAGTGCAAAACGCCCTCTCCACACCTCTGCTGGGGGAAACCCGCTGCCCCCAGTAAAAGAGTGGGAGGCTTGACTTGAATTGTGAACCCTGCTGGGAAGCCTCAAGCAAGCTGTGCTGTGCCTCACCTCCAGCTGCACTCAGATACAGATAGCGTTCCCAACACCAGCCTAACGAGAGGCATTAAACAACGGATGCAAATCCTTTGAAGATGCTCACAGTGCAGTAACGATTTCTACAAAGAAATCATCACTGTCAGGGGAGAAGATCCTCGTTTCCCCTGACAAAGTTCACTATGAAATTACCGACCTGGTAGGATTCAGTCAGAAGAGAGAAAGTTGCAGATGCAAATCTGTTGGCTCTTCCTTGAGCAGGAAACTTGGGGAATACCACAGGGGGTGGGTCCTAGCTGAAAATTAAAAATCAAAAGCAAAGGTGGTTCTCGAGATGCTTCACTTGGCTTGTGAAGCTGCGTTTACAACACTGTTCACATCCAGGTACCTTGAGATGAGGTTATTACCCATCAGTGGACACCCTCCTGTGTTGTGTGTGCACACAGAGTAGTTCCACATCTGGAACAGCTGTTCTGGGTGACTGCCCCTTACGTATTACAGGTTATCAAATACAATACCAAACAGCTATGTTGAATAACAGAAGGAAAGGAGAGCAGCTTCTGGGATCACAACATACCCTTTCTTCAAATAAGTATAAGCAGTAGTGCTTTCCTGCACTGCTACAAGAAATACCAGAACTAATTCCAGAACTTTTTTCTCCTGTAGTTGTTATGAACAGCTGTGTTCCTATTTTCATGCAGAAGCTAAGAACATCCCAAATCCTGCTCACACAACTCTGTGTGACTCAGCTCTGTATGATATAACATCATTCTTTTTCATGCATTCCTTTGCTACACACATACTGTGTTTATGGAAGATTTCCTGGGAAAAAATGCCATTAAACTTCTACCTTTTTGTCTCAGAAGGACGATGTCAAACAAAGCGAGAATAAAGAAAACATTTTTCTAGACTTCAAAAGGGCAGTTTAGCTTAAAACCAAATATACCTAAGGAAAGAACCTCTCAAAAGGTAGCCAGGTCCATGGGTAGGATAAGCATTTATCCTTTATAGAGCAAATAGACTGGAAGTCTGTGTACACACAGGGAAAATTAATTTTGCAAGCATACAGTATTGTGAGGATACTATAAGCACCAAGCCTAGCACTGTTTGCAGAATAGAGGCCAAAGAAACCCATAATGGTACCAAAAACCAGGATGAAAAATATTTGTATAAAATAATTGAGATTGAAATTTTCAATCATCTTCTTCATGGTAAACTGAAGATAACTGAAGTATGAAAAACGTCTGCAGAACACGGTAAGAACGTACCTGTCTATCTGAGGCAGGTTGCTGCTCGGTTCTCTCTGCCCTTCCAAGCTCTGCTGCCTGTAGAACGTAACTTGGCTTCTCTGCTGCATGGGCAGTGTCATTTCACAGCTGTGGACTGGTTCATTCACGGGCCCTAGAGACAGAGAAGGACCATCTCCTGATGGGTTTTTAATAGCAAAAGTCCCATTTTTGCCAGCAATTTATCTGAAAAGTTTCCTCCATTTATATTCACAATGTGTTTTATTAAAAATACACCTGTGGAACAAATACTCCTTTCAGTTCCACCCTGTAGTCCCTTTCCAAAAGGGACTAGCATACAAGACTTTCCAAAAGGATTTGAGCCTTACATTGTCAGAAAAATCTGAGTCTAGTAGATGCTTCCACCTTCCTCTGTAAAGAGGCAATCCCATTTGCTTCCTTTTGGAAAAACCTTAGATCTCACCAGATGAAAAGCATCATGTGCAGTTCAATAATAGTGTCACAGCACAAGAAAACACTAATTTAGCGATGTGGGTGTGCAATTATCTGACCAACTGTAGCCATGGCTCCTGCTTGCGTGACCTTTACCAAGAGCCAGGATGTTAATAAGATTTGGCAATGAAATTGTCATAGAGGAAAAGGATGTCTGTTTTATTAAGGCTTCCAATTTAAATGTCAACATCCACCTCCATAACGGAGAAGACTTTCCCTACTGAATACTTGCAGAATCACATGTAACGTCTCTTCATTTCCACTTCCTTCTCTCTACTTCTTCGTGTGTAAATGTGTGTGCAGATGCTCCAAGTGCAGAGTCACCAGGGCCATGCATTAAACTGAAGTTCAGTGTCTGTGGGGAAGGTGTGATACAATCTTAGCAGTCCTTGGCCTGAAACGTTTGCTTGCTTTCTTTTGTGATTAGGGCTGTTACAACTTGTGGCAAGTTAACCTGGCACAGGCAGGTTCTGCCCAGATGTGAGCTAGCTTCTGAAAAAGTTCTTAAAACATTTCTGGATGTGGCTTTTGAAGCTTTCAGAACATCAAGAGCTGCAAGTTGCTGATTTCAGAAAGATCAGTGTTACACCAGCAGGTCAGTTTTTGTTTCAGGATGAAGGGGCAGCTACCCCCCTCCTTTCCGTGCTGGGAGCTTGCTCCTTTGCTTTTGCTTTGAGGCTTTTCAAAAGTATGACACCTCTGTCTTAAGAGGTGCTGAATTACACAAAGAAACTAAAGATAAGTTTTTGGTACTTTCCAAGCTAGAGATATTTCCTCTGGTAAATTTCCCCCCTCTGAGATCAGTTAACTGAAAACAGGATGTGGCTCAGAGAGAGATTAAAATGTGAAGCTTGACTTTATTGTAGAGCCATTCCACCAACGCTTGGCATTGCAGGGCACTGTGCTACTATTTAAGGTGAATGATCATTCTTACACCCAAGAAAAAAGCTTGTAAGGGAATGTATTTGAGTATTGTCTTTTTAAAATAATCCAAAGGCTTGACATGCTTAATAAAATCAATTTCTCAGTACATTTTAAAGTGGTGTTCAGGCTCAGATGCTAAGTGTTTTAAAGATAGTAGCTGAAGTGCAAACAGTATTTCCAGGGCTGAGAATCTCATTTTGGAGAGATGCTTGAGATAGGGATGTCTCGTTCTATGAAAACATAATTTTCAGTGAGTATAAATTATCTGGAAATGAGCACATGTTCTAGGAAACCCTGAGAAATTGGTAAAACACAGCAAGGAAAACTTGGTAGTAAAAGATCCAGTCCCTGTGAGACACGGAACTTCTAGGAACTGAAGCTGAGTGCTCCAAGCCAGGATTCCTGCCTGCTCATAGCTCTGATATTAAGTAGTTCTTTAATGACTATGCTATTACTTCGTTCCTGACTTAAGCTACCCATAAAACAGGAGTACAACAGAGTAGCTGTGAGATTCCATCAATGCATCTTCAAGATTAAAAACCAAACAGCATGAAGATCATGACATTGGATATATTGTTATCCTCAGCAAAGGTGACAGCTTTGCCACAATTCAATCTCTTGTCTACAGTAAATTCCTTTAAATTGTTTTTGTTCTATCTGCCTGTGCCTACTACCAGTTGCAGCCCTGCTTTGGTAAAGCTATATCCTGAGGATCTGGCCCAACTCCTATTAGAGGAGATGGAAAGTTTCCCACTAACTTCCACAAGATTTGGACTGTAATCCTCAAAGAGAAATCAGGAATCAATTCTTTTTCCTTCATCCCCACTCTGCCTCAAGGTTTTTTTCCAGCTCATGCTCTCTGTAACACAGTATTATCCTCAGATTCCTGGTATTGGTGTGTCTGGAGCACTTCTCCAGCATTTGTCAGAAAAAAAACACCCGTAAAATAGATGCTGTGTACCATTTATCTTATTTTTGTCACTCATTAAAGCAATTTTCACGACGCAAACCAAGGAATCACCCTGAAGAGAAGAGAGCAAAGAAAAGTATTAAGTGTTTGTCACAGTGGCCTTTATAGTTTCCTATAAGCAATCCTATTTCAGAGTAAAACATCATTAAGAGATCACTAAGCCTGCCTCTGATTTTAGGCAACCTAGCTAGGCAGATCTTTACATTAAAAAGCTTCTTGGTGGTATACCCATGTAGTCACTACATCTCCATATCAAGACAAACACGGGGTGCAAATACATGAAGCCAATACTGACCAGTTTATGAGAGTTTCACCAGGTTAAGCTCTGCTTTCTGCTGCAGCCTGTCTACATTAAAGGCTTTATGGTGGTACTTGCGGTTATGCTTCTGTTTCTCTTAACGTACACAGAGCCTGATCTAAACTGGAAAATTCTTAGCTGTTATTTCCATTCTTAATGCTTTGGAGAGAACTCTGGGAACGGGAGCTGTGCCCATCAGGAAGCCTGCCAAAACACTCTCCCAAAGCTCTGGATGTAACATGAAAAAACAAGTTCAGATTCAACCTCTTTGGACTATAAAACAGCTGTCAAAATGTGGATATTCTATCGATTGCTCAGGTCACTTGTACCCTGTGCACCAGAAACCAAGGCAATTGTCATTGGGTATATTTGACTAGAACTAATTAGTGGAAACAGAGAAAGGAAACAACAGGTTTCTTTAATAATATCTTCATTAATTCACATGAATGACAAGAACTGAGGGGAAAGTGAAGGCTCTGGTAAGTCACCACTAACCCTTTCAGAAGTTACTCATTTTGCTGCTAAGGGAAAAAAGATATGTTTAGAAAATGTTCTTTTACATGTGATAGAAGCACAAAGAGACTGACTACACACTAACCCGCATCTCTCTACCACTGAGCTCGTAATTCACTTTGCTACTGTAGAGTGACTAATAGCACTGGGCTTATCTTTCCAATAGTATTTTTCAGCATGGCTCACAAACCTGCATGATTTCCACACCACCACTGACAGCATCTATTTGTACCTCCTTCTTATTGGCAACTCAGGGAGCACAGAAGTTCCAAGCATTATCCAAGGTTTCACAGGAAGAAAATGGCATTGTAAGGAAAACTAAAGCCCCCATCAAAACATCACTACAGCAAACAAACTCCTGAGTGTTCACCAACCAAGATGCAGGAACCTGAAGGAGAAAGGAAAATATACTTTTATCATAGGAGAAGCCTGAATGAAAAAGTTGGAAGTGGAAGAGAACAGGCATATAGAAAGACAGGTCTATATTCTGAACAGAGGCAAGCAGGCTTAGTGCTCAAAATCCTGAACAGAAAGAGTCCTCTCATGAGGCCAAGTATCTTGGCAGCTTTGGCAGTGATAGGACTCCAAAAGCACATCATCACATACAAATTCCCAGCAGTGTCCTTGCAATTCAGCCAAGAAAACAAAATTTGTATCTCCCATGTTGAACATCTGCATCATAAATTGGATGTTGAAGCCCCAAAACAAATGAATAGGGCACAAAGTGCTCAGAAAATGAATGCTCCCATCTGTCCAGGTTCAGTAACAGTGGGTCACTCTGGAAGAAATCAAAATACAGATTGGCTTCCTAGTGCAGCAGTGCAGAATTGTGGCAAATTTTCACAAGCTAAGGTTGTATTCTCTTTGTGGCAAGAGATGTGCAGGAAGGAAATTCAGCAGTTTTTAATCTGGTTATTGAAACATCACATCTAACACTTTTTCTTATCATGAATATTCTGCTTCAAAGCTCAGGGACTGGCAGGCAGGGCCTTAGGAGGTGTTTCTGGGCTGGGCTACTCTCTGGTAGTACTCACCTCGGAGCTGTTCAGAACTGGGAAGCAGTTAGAAGAGATCAGCAGAACCAGTGGACACAGACCTATACACAGGAGCATGGCTTTCTAAGAATCTGGTTTGAATGCATGTGGGTTTAGACACATTCCCCCAGTTTCTGCTAATAAATCCATGGAATTCTATTAGATTATGTTGCAGATTAATTTGCCCCCTCCTGTTTCCATGGGAAGTTTTTGATCCTAGCTTGTTTGGAGATTCCTGACCAAAACAGAAGCTTAGCTGATTGTGCCAAGCTTCTTCAGTGTCATTTGGAAACTCTGAAATGGTGAAGTTATTCAGCTTTGATAGGAAGCCACAAGTGACACCAGGGACACAAAGAAGATTCCCCTGTCAGCTTGGGTTGAGTAACTGTGCATAACCACAAGCTGGGCAAGTTTCATGGAGTTTGAAGTTCTAGCATGAAAAGACATCTCTTGATTACTTCGTGCAGAAAACCCCTCATATACTGCCTTTTCATTCACTATGTAAAAAAAGATTCATTCCAGGAATCAAAATCTCTGCCACAAATTATCTCCAGACTTCTTTTGTCAATGGGAGTGCGAGTCCTTGCACCCTCCTCTAAATTTCACCAAGCTAATATTTTTTATTGGCTGCTTTGAAAGCTCTTATCTGACAGCCAACATTGAGCTCTGGCGATCAGTGCTGTGGTTATCACCCAGAATGGTTCCCCTCAAACCATTGTTGAACATGGCATGAAAGGTGTGAGGGAAGTTCAGTGAAAACTGGGACCAAAACAGCCTTCTAGTTCTGTTTATAACTGTATCTCTGCATCACCCTTCACACACACCAAAAGCAACTGCAAACTTCACTTGAAACAATTATTCAATACATGCTATACTAATATGTCCTAATCAATCTGTGCTAGAAACAAACCAGCTTTTAATATTGCATAGACTCGTAACTTCAAACCTGTGGAATTACACAGATGGTGGAAACTAATACCTATTTCTACCCAGCTGTAAGAGCTTGGGGTGAACACCTCTAGGACCCGACAGCAGTAGGCTTTTATGGAAAATTTAATGATTTGGGCAGTGAAAGGATGTTTTTATGGTATATTTCTTTTCCTAAATAATGAAGGAAAAGTGGCTAATCAGGGTCTGGCAGGGACAGACAGTGCAGCCACGCAGCAAGCGTGAGTCTTCAGTTATGGCTGCAGTTTATGCCCAGTCTGTCACCAACACTAGCATTTACATCTATGTATTGTAAATCCCATTTCAGCAGGTATAAACTGGCACAATGAAACATGAATCTCCTTGTGTGTGGACATGTGAGGTGGTGATAAAGTATTTTCTCTTTGAAAACGAATTTTCACATTTGTGTTTTGTGATTCAGTGAAAGAAATACTGTACCTCCAGATCTAGGTACATAAAAAGTATAGCTCCTCCAAAAACAATTGTACCACCAGTGGTTTGCAGGAGCTTAGGATGTGCTCCATGTCCTCACAGTACAAACTGCAGAGAACATCTAATCACTGGTGGAAAGAATGCAGAGTTGAGGTTACTCTTGTAAAGCCAAATTAGACAATGCGAGTCCATGACAGGGCTCCTTGAAACCAGCTTACAGTGTTCTAATCCCAGACTCTGAACTTCTTGCTGTTTAGTTTGGAGTACATTTAACCAGCACCAGAGGGGCTGCTGTCATTAAGAGACAATTGGTTTTCCATTGTGAACCCTAGTTTTTGTGGCTTACTATCTCAGCTGATTCAAAGTGCACCAAACAGAACTGTTTGCTTGACTTGCAAAAGAAATTGCCATTTTAGTCATAAAGTAGCAAATAAATAAAGGAAATACAGTTCGAACCACAGCACCTTAGGAATAATCTGTATTTCATGACTTCTAGCTAGGAATATGGTTAAATATAATGATTTTATAAATAACCACCTGTGTGAAATAAATAATTCCTGGGATAGAAACAAAGGGTTGAATATAGTGACCTTTACTCAAGATTTCTCTGCTATTGTTTTCTAAACTTAAATGTTCTGTTTATGACAGTTGTAGTATCTAATTTAGTTTAGGATTTTCCAGGAAATCAGTTGCTGCTTCAACATGTATCCAAATTCTGAGTTCATTCAGAACTTGAAAAGCAAAATTTAACATGAGGACTGGAATTTTGTAATGACCCTGAAACTGGCAAAACCATACTTTTAGTTCCCACGAGACTGGAAGAGCCAAACCCAGATATTCCTCCTAATTAGAGGTGAAAACATTATTAAATATCTTAAGAATTGAAAGCATATGGAACTCCTATAAGGTAGGTTTTTTTACTGGAAAATCACTGGTGGCCATGCCAAATTTCAGTTTGTTCTGATGTAAGAATTCAGCAGGAGATTAAGAACACATTTTGCTTGGAGACATGCATAAACATTAACATTTACATAGACTGAAAATAAGCCTCTGTACATAGGGTCAAGTGAGACAACTCCTGATGGATGAACACCAAACTGGCAGCTCTCAGTGATTTTGTTTTAAATTCAAAATGATATTCCCTCAAAAGAAAAGATGGATTTCCTCAGTGTGTTTTCACTCATCCCTTCCACACCCCAACTATAAATGAATCTCCTGACCTCTGTCAGTGCATTCCACAACTCTCTGTTTGTGGAGTGGGAGTTTGAGATTATTTATAAAAGCCCAAGTTTTTTGAACTTGAAAGAAATCTTACTAAGGATTCAATGCTGGGATTTGGGATAGCTCTACCCAACTCAGGATCCCTCCTGCTGACTCAGAAGGGAGGCTGTGCCTATCCTGAACATTTTCATTGCTACACAATGATAGAAAATAATTCTGGTGTGATATTCTGGCATTACATTGCCCAAATCGACTGAACAAAGAACTCAGTATTCCTCTTCTTCCAGATGATTTCAGATTCTGAGTGAACCATCATAACAAAAATCATGTGGTAACTTGAACTTGCATCTACTAGCTCGCAGAAGCAATTTTCTCTTTCACCTAGTATTTAATATATATTTTCAGGTCAGCTGAGGAAGAATTATTACAGTCACTTCAAGTTACTACAAAGTTAGAGTATTAACCTGTTCCAGGGATTTAGCATTCCTGTTCTAAATCTGGAGGGTATTGCTAATTCAATAACACCTTTCACAGACCACTTCTCTGGCTAAGGCTACTTAGAGCTTGTGGCATATACTGAAAGATTAACTACACAAAATCAGTTTTGCACTGCTAGTAAAGCAATGGCTGGAGAATGGCACCATTTGGCTCTCTTCCTAAATTAGTCACAGTAGTTAGATGCAGCCCAGCAGCTCTCATGGTCAGACCAAAAGAGCGCAAGTTTCATGTGTCACTGTGCATAATAGGGTGGAATTTCTATTCAAGCCACTTACTAGCTTGCATCAATTAGGTTAATTTTTTTATTGCAATGAAGTGAAGAGAGAAATCAGTTCATTTTGTGACACTTAACTATCTAAAAATCAGTAAAATACAAATAGAAATGGACAGAAACATGTATTTTTAAAAATAACTAAAAGACTTGAATAGTATTAACCCTTAGAGTTGTTCTCTCAGGAATTCAACTGATTCAGGTCTCACATATCTGCCAAGAGTATTCAGGGAGAGGCACATCAGAATGGCATCTGGTGAATTTTCTTATTCAATGGCTGATGAGGGAAATACATCAAAAAGGAATGAAAGTGTAATGACCAAACTCATTTAGTGGGTCCTGCTTTCTGAGATTGCCTGTGTGTATCACTAGGAGCAACTGTGAAGTTCCCTTTGGAGGCTAGGTTGCCTGTGATGTACTCTTATATCAATAAATGACAATAAAAATCCTGTTTAGACATGGCCCTTGGCATCCTGCCACAACTGACAGACTACATCAATCATCTCTATTCTAGGAGATGTGAGAATGAATTTGGACTAAAGCACAGAGCTTTCTGGGCATGTGCCTGACTGTGTAGGCAGAGCAGCAATCCCACATACATGGGCTGGCTGGCCTTTGAGGAGGCTGCAGAAGTGTAGCAGTTGAAGGCATGTTTTTCTGGAGCCACTAAAGCTATTAGCTGGTGATTCAAAGGCTGGAACATTTAGAGACTTGCACACCACGTATATAAACAACCAAGGAATAGAAAAACATTGTGTACAATTCAGATATAAAAGGATATTTCTGATGTCCAGAATCCCCAGTAAGCATGGAAATACAGAATGTGTTTTGAAATAATTTCCATTTCATAATGCAGATGAGTCATCTAAGCAGTGATTATTCCAAGAATTTCTATTTTGGCTGGGATTAACCCTGTGAGTTACTTAGTACCTTGGACCTCTCCAGCTACAAGTCACTAAGGTTAGCATCGTAACAGATTCTAAAATCAATCCCATGTCATTTGATCAGCTCTTGTCTTACTAACTAGATGCAGTAGATATTTGCCAACTTAATTTGCAAGTGTGAAACAGACGAAAGTACAGATAAACCTTCCCCCCCCATGGTTTTCATATGGAAGTCACGCCATGCCACGTGAGGAAGGTAAATCTTCCTACACTGGTATTTATACACACCTCCACGTCGTTGTGATTTCATCTATTTTAAGACCACTTGATAAAGTCAACATTCTGTCAGATGTCTTTGTTTTGCTGTTAGCAGTCAATAGGAAAATGTATTTTGGTGCCTGATCTTAAGATGTTGCTTGACACTCATTTGAGCCTCTTGACACAGAGAGGAAACAGCAGAACATGTTTGTTTGGTTTATGTTGCACTTTCTTTTTTCTCTGGAGTTGCTGCAGTTTGATAAACTCACATTGAATGCCAGGATACTTCAGTGAGTGTTACAGTTCTTCAACTGGCCTTGTCTGTGGCCTTGATAAAGTCATTTGACTGCTCTTGGTAATACAGTTTTGTCATCCATAACTCACTGCAAGTTCTTTTTATTACTATTTTTTGTTCTAGTTTTGTATTTCTAAGTACTACCTGCAACATACTGCTGACAATTCGTTTTTAGCTGTGTAACGGGAGATTTACAGATGCTCACCAGACATTCCTACACCAGAATATTTTAACAAACAACAAAAATCCAACCCTTCTGTGTAAAAGATGGAGACAAAACACTTCACTTTATGCATTTTATACTGTGTACCAGTTTGATATTTAGCATATATGATATACAGGTACATAGATAATATTCCAGATATTCCAGCGTCAGCTGGAGAAGGCAAAGAAACCTTGAACCCTTTAAAGTTGCAACAGAAACCATCAACAGCCTTGTGGGACAATTTAGTCCCATTGGTCTCAGGAAATTCTGCACTGCAGAATGGGCCCTGCTATACTTACATATTGACTGAGGTTAAAGGATACAGATATAACTGAGTTATTTCCCTTAAAATTACTTACTTATGAAAGCTATACACATTAAACATTATTTCAGCCATTGTCCTAGATGTTAACTATGACTTACCTTACATGGATCTGATTGACTTGAATGAAGAAAATTCTTGTTCATGCCGTTGGCTGTAATTCTTTCAATCTCTTTGCTCCTGCTTTCATCTGATTTTATCCAGCACACAGTGAATACTGTGTGAACTGGAATACAGTGAATACAGTGAAAACTGGAAAACAGCAGAGCAAAGTTATATTAATGATGTAGGTAGAGTTTAAATTAAAGGCCATCTTAGCTACTCTCTGCAATAAGTATGGGAATTATTTTAACTGGTATCTAAGTAGTGTGAGCCATGACACATCTGAATATCATTTGATCTTTTTGATACAACAGAACTGTGCTTTAAAGAAATCTTCAGTTTCACCTTAGCAGGGACAGGTGAGTCAGTATCTCTGTACTTAGAAATAAGAAACAGGAGTTTATGAGATGAATCATTCCTGAGACACAATTAGGTCTCCTAATACACATTACTCTCTCAACAGTATTGTCCAGTTCGAAAGTAGAAGTGCTTACAGGTGGGCTGCCTGGACAACCTCACTGAGCACGTAAGTTTACTTTCCTCTGCAATGTGAGTTCATATCCAGTCATTATTGGAATCAGTAGTATCTTCCTATGCTTCTTAGAAGAGTTTGAAGAATTAATAAAAAATACTCACAGAGCCAAGATTAAAAATTGCATCAGGCGTGACTATCTTCTTTCCACATATTCAACCCTCTGGATCAAGGATATTCCTAAGAGAGAGGGAAAACAGTAATTTTAAAGTTCTTGGACATGCTGCTTTTGGGCAGCTATTCAATAAAAATAAAGATGCATGCAACTGGACTTTGTATCAGACTCTGTCTCAGTTCTGCTGAACCAAGCTGAACTGTGCCTGGAGCTGTGAGAAGGAAACTTGTCCCTTCATCTGCCAGTTCCCTGGAGTCAAGGCAAGCTTTTAACTGTCATACTCAGTCATCAAGTGCCAAAATGACATTTGTTGTAAATCTCCTTAAGTTACAATAGATGTTGACTCAGTCTATTGTGTCTGAAAATACAAATAATGAATGGCACGTGTATTATTTAGGAACTTTTTTTTTCCCTAAAACAAGAAAGCAAAGAACAAAAATAGCAGCAGCTAGTGCCAGAAATGGAGACACAGGAATTCACAAAAAGAGTACAAAAGGAAAACATAGGGGATAGTTTCTTTCACAGACGGCATATGAAGTGCTGCATGTATTCACAAAGCTGTAGAAACACAATGTTATACCAGCAGGCAGCGATTATCAGACTAGCAGAAAAGCAAGACTTCGGTAACACTTCATTAACCTTCAGTTTCTTTACCAGGACTGAGCATGAGGTGGCAACTGCGCAGCAGAGTTGCCACAAGCCCTAGGGTTTGAGCCCCTTCAACAATGTGGTTTACTATATATGAAAATGGACCTGTATGAAAATGATGTTCTTGTGCTCCCTCTGCTGTTCCTGTCACAGTGAAGAACTGGGAGTGTTTCAGGAGCTGCGTCTATTCCTTCACATACAAGAAATACTCATGCCTTAATAACAAGGGGAACAATTTCTCCTGGCAAAAGAATTTTCAGAAAAATAAAGCAGCATGGTGTACAAATGAAGGCGAAAAAGCATTATCTATCTGGAAAGCAAGCTTTTAGGCATGATGCAATGCTGTGGACATACCCCAGCTTTCTTTAACACTGAAGTCTGTTCCATTAAGAATACTAACAAAATGTGATTCCACATGTACTGAATACTATTGTAATTTAAGGTATGCTATTGTTATTTACTGTCACAAATGCTGTAGGTTATTATCCAAACTATGGTCTTTCTGAAATACAAGCAGTGGGAAAGAAACCACTGGTTTTAAAATAGTCTATTTTCTCTACCCAGATGGATGACATAGCAACACTACCAGAAGAAACAGTCATGCAAGAACATCAGCAGTATTTAAAATTAGTTGAAATGTCTCATAAAACAAGTAATTAACAATAGAGAACTTACCAAGCTGGTTAACAACTGAAATTCTTAGTGCACCATCAGCCAGGGAACACACTGGATTTCCACTGCAGGTGCACCCCACTCTGCACTCTGAGTGGGGTGCACCTGTATCTCATGCTTGTTTTCTCATTGCAGTGATTATTTTCTTTTTAATATTTGGTTTAACACTGCTTTCTTTTGACCTTAGACTTCCAACACATTTCAATTCCACTGCAGGTGCTGAAGGATGGGTGTTTGAGACACATTGCAGTGTTTCAGGACACTGACAAAGGGAAGTTCTGTATTTCAGACATGGGCTAGAAGAAACTAATTTATTAAAACTTAATTTAAAAATCCATTACTCCCACCACGTGTTGCATGAAAAATGCCACTCAGCATGTTAAGATAAAGGCCTGGATGTGAGCTTGGGTAAAGAGAGCAAGACTGTGTCATCTGTGGGTCTAAGGGAACTAAAGAGCCACAATGGCATCACAAGTACCTGGATTCAGCACAGCTCTTCACATAATCTAACACAGCATTAGGAGTTGCCATCCATCACTCTTGCACTACAGTACTTTGATGGAGTTGGGAGGTGAACATTTAAAATAGTCACTATAAAGTAACTGGGGCTGCAGGAAGATTTTTGTCCTTAACATGTGGATCCTATTGTAGAAGCTTAGAAAGATTTTTTAATTTGCTTGGAAATTAAAGCTGTAACAAAATTATTTGATTAAAAAAAAAGGCAAAAAATAAAATTGTTTAAAGAATGAAGTGTTATGTTTTAATAAGACATCAAATTTCAACTCTTCTGAGTGTTACTCTGGCACAGGACAGTACTTTTGTGTTTGTCTTTACAGTTGAGCCACTTCAACTGACCTCAAGTGTCTTTGCATTATTCTGTGTTATCTTCCCATCCAAGCCTAAAAATCCTACTTTAAACATTATAAGAACATGACTATGAAATACAAGCAAAGACCATTTTTCAAGATGAAGTACTAATGAATGTTAAGTTCGGGACAGAATTACTGAACAGATGAGGATTTATTTATATATATATATATATATATATATATATATATATACGATCTTTTAATACAAAATTCCACCAGTAAATCAGCAGCCAGTGATCATGAGATCTTCAGCAAAATCTTCCATTGTATTCAAAAACTCCTGACAAAATGTACATGCTGTAGTTGAAGGCCACCACTCAATCCAAGTGCTGGAGTCCAAAGGGTACTGGAATCTAAGAAGAGAGCAGGAAATGATCATTTGCTGCTAAGATTTGGGGAGAAAAACATCAAAAAGGAATAATTACAATATGAAATTACTTGCTTTGTGTTCATAATCCTGTTTTCAATGTACACATCTGAAAATACATTGTGTAACTATTGTTTGAACTAACATGTAAAAAATTAAATCAATTCTATATTACGTAAGAATTATTACATACAAACACTTGCCACTTCACAGCACACTTAAAGATTAAATCTCTGTGTATTCTGGTGGTAAATTACTTACTTGAAATTGTAACCAACACTTATCTTCAAGGCTTCTTTTCCCATGATCAAATACTGCTCCCCTGGGCTCAACTCAACATCTGTACAGGTCTTCTTTTTAACAAAGGTTATTTCATTATTTTTCTGAGCAAAAGCCTGCCCTGGAGTAGAATGTCAAGAATTGAAAAATATCACAGAGAGAATTTTCACTAACTTGTAAACTAGCCAGAAAACATCAAAATGTTCTACAGTACAGAACAGCCGAGGAATCTATTTGCCACTAGCTGTATAACAGCAAAATCTGATGTTATAAAACATGCTTCTTGTAAAAGCTTTGAAAAATTAAATCTGAATGGTAAATAAGCCTCATGCACATTAAATGGTTTTATATTAATTATAAGCACAGGTTGGGTGCTTAGAGGAAAACTGAGTGAATATCAGCTTTAGTTCCACAGGACCTGAGCAGCCACCTTTCCCAAGGGTGAGACAGTGAGTGCCCAACAACACTCTGAAGTCCGTTCTCCCAGAAACACAAACATGCCCAACCTAAAAAACCTGAGATAAATTCAGGTATGGCATACCCTTTCACACTACCCCACTTTGATCATTGTATATATAGAAAGGGAGGGCATTCTGTGAAATAAATGAGATTTACACAACCGCTCACAACCTTATTAATTAATTATGGGATATGTTCACCTTGTTTTGTCACGTAAAAGACATTTCACTGATTACAGTTTGGGACTGTTAACAACAGCTCTAATATAGAAAAGCTGTTTAAAACCATCAAAGAGTTGACTTCTCAGGGCTCAAGAGAATTCTCAAAGGCTGTATTTAAGACTGCAATTTTCTCCTCTCATGAAACAAGCAGGTTTGACTGCTGATTTTTGTCAGCTGCTTCAGTGGTCTCAACCAAACAGCTTTTACTCTAAATAAATTGTTAAATGGATTAAAAACAGCACACTCACCTCTTTTATAGAGATCCAGCAGAGTTGCAGAATACTTTACAAAATAACCCTCTTCACTGCGAGATAAAATGTTCACTTTATAAACTGCAGAACAACACAAAATAAACTGTTATTTCTTGTTCTTGCAACACACACTAAATGTCTTACGCATGCTCAGATGGAGAATATAATGTCCCTTTACAATACTGATTTCTGGGAAAACAGTGGCTATAGCTATACATTGTAGGCTAAGAAACATTAATAAGTTCTACCCATGTTTTAATCTGATGGAAGCTCTACTCAGGCTCTCATCTGATGCCTGGCAAGCTTCCTCTGACCCCAAAGCCAGATGCTCACCTTAGAACAGCACCAAGAAAGAGAAACGTGGTGCTTATTAGCAGAAATCATCAGATCAGGATCACTGTTATGCTAACCCTGGTTTATGTGACTTTTATTCAGCAGAGGGCATGGGCAACACTTCCTCTTCTCTGCTCCTATGTCACCTTCATACACTCTACACCACAGTCTAACCTACTGAATTTTAATCACTAAAGATCTAACTGAAACAAAATCTTCTGCAGCAGTAGTAAACAAGTAAACATTTCAGTCAGAGCACGTGAAATAAGTAATGACAATTCAAGTATTACCATATGCAATATCCTTCTGGCATGCAGCTTCTCTCCTGGTATCAGCGGTTATTGACCGATCTAGTCTGTCTTGTACTTTACTACACTCAGCTACATTGAGAAAGAAAAAAGCCAACATTAAGACAATGTCACCACATGTCCTCACATAAAACACCACA